CCTGCTGAAGGTGCACTCCCTCAGTTGAGGCTACCTCATTCTCTGAACACATTACCTCCACGTATGAGGAATCAGTCTCATCTGAATCAAGCATTCAAGTATTCCTGAAGAAGCTGTTCCTTCTTCTTCCGCTAATGATTTATGGAAGGGTTTCTTGCTTGCTAGAATGTAATGATAGTTTTGTTTCCTGTTTCTAGGAGTGGGATTAGCTTCCCGGAAGATAGGTGGCCTGGCAAAGCCCGATGTGATCATCAGTATGAAGGGGGACATAGTAACCATCAGAACTGAAAGCACCTTCAAAAATACAGCAATCTCTTTCAAACTGGGCCAGCAGTTTGATGAAACAACAGCAGATGACCGAAAAGTCAAGGTAAGGGGGCTAATAATTTCTCGGTGGTCTGGACACATCCTGGCAGAGCACCAGGTGGAGTTTTTCCTATCCTCTGTGCACTATGAGTTTTCCAAACTCTTGAAAGAAACTAATGTTACTAAGAGTGTCATTCGCCAGGAACTTGAATCTTGCTGGACATAAAGTGAATTGCTACTCTAATCTGCAGAGCTCAGACTGCAGCGTAAAACTTCTCTTGACCTTTGCAGAGTGTTGTAACCCTGGAGAAAGGGGCATTGGTGCAAGTGCAGAAGTGGAATGGCAAAGAGAGCACAATAAAAAGAAGACTGGTTGATGGGAAAATGGTGGTGGTAAGTTGACACTCCCTGTACGCTGAAAAAAAGACACAAGGATGCAGCCTTCAGTTTGCTTCAGTCTAAACAGACTATCAATTTTGGTTTTCTCTCTGGCTTATGAGATAAATTAAGAGGTAGAAAAAGGCAACGAAGCTTTGGATAGAAGCTAGAAGGAAATAAATATTTTTCCGTACAGCAGACTGTCTTTTAAATCACTGTATCGGCAGAGCTGCCATAAATTGACAGCATACTTAATGCTCTCAAGATTATTATTCTTAAGGAAATTAGGTTTTCAAATAGCAGAAACTTGTGGAATGGAAATACAGGTTAGCAAGTTGGGTATTGCTCTCCTTGAATGGCTCATACCTTTTTCCTCTCTTTGGAATAAACCCTGTCTACCTTAGAAATCTGATTTTACACCTTTTCACACAACTTTTTCACAATCTCATCAATTCACACACTTCTGTTTGCTTTTTCCAAGTAAGCATGCCAAGATCAGTAGGCAGCTGCTTGAGGTTTATGGGGTGAAAGTCAGCACCTCTATGTCCATACCTGCCTGCGTGATGACCTGCAGCGGAGACGAGAAGGTCCTGTTGGGCCCTCCAAAATGCCCACTGTGGTGAGGGAACTGTGTTTTTCTTGGGAACAGGGGACTGCTGGCTTTCCCTCACCCCACCATTCAACTGGCCTTTCTTAGCAGCCATGTGAAAGCCGTGGGCTGGCCAAGCCAGGGACCCTAATTGTGAGGGTCACTGCTAAAATTAAGATTTCACTTTTGAATAGAATAAAGCACTTTGTTGATTAAGATTTTTCGAGTGGGGCTAAACTAACTTTGGCAATTTGTTTGAAATCAGCAGCACTTCACATGCTGCTACCTTACTCTGATTGCTTTTTGTTTCAAGATCTTGTACATGTGTATGTCCTCATGGCTGCATTTCTGTGTCAATTCTAAGTTGTTAATCTATCTTTGAAAAGATGAGAGTTAAAGTCCCTTTTCCATTGACATCCTGCTGTCTGCCCCTTGCCTCAAACAGGTTTTTGGAGGAGGCCCCATCTTTTGCAGAGCACTGCAGTCTTTTTTAGCATCCTGTCACCTCTGCCACACGCGTCTGTGGCTGTGAGTCACCAGGAGCCACTGAGGGTCACTGGAGCCAGAGACTCAGGAGGGAGATTTTGTGACTCATGAGCCCAAAGTTGTTCAGGCCAGAAGCCTGGCCTCTGAACTACCCAGGCTACTTTTCCTTCTGTAAAAAAAACTTTGAAAAATTGGAAGTGTTCATGGCCTATAGTATAATAAACTAGGTGGGGCTGATTTTTCTGTCAAGTTAGCAGTAATAACAAGAAAGGTTAATTTGCTTCTGGAAGCTGAGCCCAATTTTGCAATCTATTTGTCATTATATGCCACTTAATTAAGTCTGAAGATGTTAAAAGAGAAGCCACTCCATTCACATTATAAAAATAGCTTTGCTGTTTGCTCTGAAAATTATGTAAAGATGTAAAACATGACATCTGGACTTTCACTGACTTCGGAGGTGTCTGCAACAGAAACACCCGCTGTCAGCAAAAGGTTTATATTAATCTTTTCCTTTGCTCCTT